CCTGAAACAACTCTCTCACTATAGCACGACTACTTTGTACGACTACAACGACGACCATCGCTACCTGAACCAACTCTCTCACTATAGCACGACAACTTTTGTACGACTACAACGACGGCCATCGCTACCTGAACCAACTCTCTCACTATAGCACGACTACTTTTGTACGACTACAACGACGGCCATCGCTACCTGAACCAACTCTCTCACTATAGCACGACTACTTTTGTACGACTACAACGACGGCCATCGCTACCTGAACCAACTCTAACACCACAGCACAATTCCTCAACGATCACTTCCATCATGAACTTACAAAGATCTACATTGTCTTGAGTCTGTAAACATTTCCCTACACCTCACGCAAGCGACCCTCGTGGTTCCCATCTGTGCATGGACCAACCCGGTACAGTCGTGGAACCAGCAGGGCGGCTCAGGGCGACGACAGCAGACAGATGTCATGTATTACACAAGGCTCGACAGCACAGATACCGCACTGTTCCAGTCGGGAGCGTCCACCAGGCTGTAGAGGTCACGACAGGACACACTTAGTGACCCTTGGGAACTATTGTACTTTGTGTTTATTGTTAAAACCTCGCGCATTGCAGTGGCAGTGTCTGTATGTGGAGTCACTGAGAACACTGTACTTCAGTCTTTCGAAGGGTAGCGTTTATATTCTCTATTATCCAGGGTATTATATATCCATTTTATTGTGATAAATACCTTAGATTCATTCGCTACCACAGTTGCGCTTTTGAGACGCCCAATCAATTAACTGAGCGAGAGAACCTTTGCACTTATTAGTTACTGATAGTAGGGGTTGTGATAACGGTGTCACATTCAAAACGAAGCTATAGTGACGAATGGGTTCAGGGTATTTGAGATACAATGGGATGGAGATACAATGTACCGGTAATCGAGGGTGGTCATTGTTACAGTTTCAGGGAGTTTACCCTTATTCTGATACGAACGACAATGTCTAAACCTAAAACACAGTATTCCGACATTCTGTCGAAACCGGCATCTGTGAAGTCCGACATTCTGATGGAACCGTCACTTGAGAAGTCCGACATTCTGACTGAACCGTCACTTGAGAAGTCCGATATTCTGACTGAACCGTCACTTGGGAAGTCCGACATTCTTATGGAACCGTCACTTGGGAAGTCCGACATTCTGATGGAACCGTCACTTGGGAAGTCCGACATTCTGTCGAAACCGTCACTTGGGAAGTCCGACATTCTGATGGAACCGTCACTTGGAAGTCCGACATTCGGTCGAAAACGACATCAATCTATCAAATCGGGTCCGACGCATAGAAAGTCTTAACCTGCGCAGTAGTAGCCGAACGTTCTGTCAGAATCGAAACAGGACTAGTCCAACATTCGGTTTAGTCTGACATCTGAGTTTTGAGAAATTCGACTGGTTCCAGTTACTGTGTGCCTAAAGTGAGTGAGTGAGTGAGTAGGGTTTAACGCCACTTTTAACAGTGGCATTGCAGTGGCAGTGTCTGTATGTGGAGTCACTGAGAACACTGTACTTCAGTCTTTCGAAGGGTAGCGTTTATTCTCTATTATCCAGGGTATTATATATCCATTTTATTGTGATAAATACCTTAGATTCATTCGCTACCACAGTTGCGCTTTTGAGACGCCCAATCAAATAACTGAGCGAGAGAACCTTTGCACTTATTAGTTACTGATAGTAGGGGTTGTGATAACGGTGTCACATTCAAAACGAAGCTATAGTGACGAATGGGTTCAGGGTATTTGAGATACAATGGGATGGAGATACAATGTACCGGGTAATCGAGGGTGGTCATTGTTACAGTTTCAGGGAGTTTACCCTTATTCTGATACGAACGACAATGTCTAAACCTAAAACACAGTATTCCGACATTCTGTCGAAACCGGCATCTGTGAAGTCCGACATTCTGATGGAACCGTCACTTGAGAAGTCCGACATTCTGACTGAACCGTCACTTGAGAAGTCCGATATTCTGACTGAACCGTCACTTGGGAAGTCCGACATTCTTATGGAACCGTCACTTGGGAAGTCCGACATTCTGATGGAACCGTCACTTGGGAAGTCCGACATTTTAGTATTCCAGTTTGTCGCAAAGTGATGCAGGTCTCAGACGTTTACCACTTCGGTGAAACCCACGAGCATGGGCATGGTGCTGACAAACCTAGAAACATAATCGGGGCGAACCGAGATTCGAACCAACAATCACAGGTGTCTAATAGGTGTCCCAAGGACTGGGCCAACCGTGCCCCCCTGCCTAAAGCGATGACATGTTTAAGAGCATTCGCCTTTCTAGATGGTAACAGGGAATATATTGTTTGAATATGTGTAATAGCAAGGACGATATGACAAACAAACAAACAAACAAACAAACAAACACAGTAACAAGGGATGATTTCCAAATGACAAGTAGAACTTCTGATTATTAGGGATATTTGGAGCCGGGGATCCCCAGGTGTATATCAATTTCCATCGTGCTCTGATCTTCTCTTCTCCAGGAAACAAGGTGGACACAGACACATCCCAAGGCGTCGATGTTCGGGTATTCACATAGGTCATCATTTTAGATAGATAGTGTTGTATGCATATGCAGGTATGACGTTTATCAAATACCACCATCGGTACTGCAGGTCTTAGGCGTTCGTCACGTGTGTGAGTGGGTAGGGTTTTTCGCCACTTTTTGTGTAAGAAATATTTCATCAATACCACGGCGGGGGACACCAGAAATAGACTTTACACATTGTACCCATGTGAAGACTCGAACCCGGGTCTTCGGCACGACGAGTGAACACTTTAACCACTAGGTTACCCCACCGCCCCAGAAGTAGTAGTATTATTATCCTCGTCGGTGGCGGCGTAGTTGTTATCAATATTGATAGTAGTAGTAGTAGTCGTCGACGTGGTGGTGGTAGTAGTAGTATGGACTTAGGACAAACTTGAGCCATACAATTGCACACAACAGAACAATCAGTCATGAATGCCTATCTTTATATAAACACTAAACACTAACTAAACACTTACCACATGAAGGCATTACATGGTTTTCTTCATGGTTGGATTGCTTAAGCAGTGTTAAAATATACAAGACTGACTGGAATACTCACTAATCCATCTAACATATTACTAGCAATG